AAAAAAAAAAAAAAATAAAAAAAAAAAAAAAAAAAAAAAAAACCAAATCAATGGGAGAGAAAACGGTCCAACTACCTTAGGTTTCTGGGAAAGAATATGAGCCAGAGAGAAACAAAGTCCAAGAAGATAAAAACTTACCAAACTCTGGCAAGACGGGAGGGTTAAACACTGACTTCACAGAGCGACGGCTGCAAACGGAAAAGCAAGATATCCATTTTGCTACTCAAGCCAGCAGAGAGCAAGCACAGCTGAGAAGTCCCAGAGTCCAAGGCTATCACAGCCCCATTCCAAGCGAAGTTCAAACGATTTCAAGCAGGATCACAAAAAAACGGCAAGGAAGGGTTTTTCCCCTCCCCCCTTCCCTCTAAAGGGCAATCACACTTTTCTCCAACATCAGCCGGTTACTGTGACACAAAACCACCTCACTTCAGTCCCAACATTTCTTTAGTTCAATAAAACCCTGTTAAAGTGTTTAACTCACACACAAACAAGAAGCTGAAAACATGTGAACATCCATGCACAGGGGGCCCCAAAACACCCTGAGAAAAAAAAACAAACAAGTCCTTTGGGAGGAAAAGTCAGGCTATAGTCCATTGTCTGAAAGGCGATCACTTCCAGGCTTCAAAGTCAAACTCACAGTTTCATATTCTCTGGATCTTTTCAGCAACTACAACGGGGTTCTCCTTACGGATCTTTGCGGCAGCTTCAGCTTTATAGTCGTATGGACAGTTGTGCTTATCGGAGTAACGGTGAATTCCGCAAAAGAGATTTCCACAGCGACAGTCAAAACCTGAAAAAGCAGAAAAGGAAAGGAAAGGTCTTAGAGGATGAGGCAGGGGGGGGGGGAAATGATACCAGAACACACCACTGTGTTTCAGTTTTTTGATTTTACACTTTTTTCTTTTAAACCTGGACTTTTCCATACAAAACACAAATCCTAAAGTCAACCTGTTCTGCTCATTTCCATCTCCATGTTTTTATTCTTGGACTCAACTTCCATTGTTTTACATGGCTTACTGTTCAAAAATAATCCTGATTAGTCCTGAGACTAAGATGCATCTTGAGATGCTTGATTTGGATTTTCTTTGTTGCAGCCTCCTATTTCTTCATTGTCTTCATCAACTGGTGTCTTGGTACATCTGGTGACCAAGTTCCCTCTAAGCTGCGCGTGCGCACAAAAAAAAAAAAAAAAAATCTCTGCGCACAGAGAATCCGCATTGCGCACAAAAAAAAAATCTAACCTGAATTGAAATTGAAATAAATGTGTAAATTCATTCTGTGCCGTTTTGCAGTGTGAGTCAGTAAGTGACAGGTGACTGGCTGCTCCAGCCAATAATGCGATTCACATTTGTATATACGCAGCTAAATAAAGTCGTTGACAGGTTATGACAGTGTCCTTATGTGCCACCACCAGTGTTTTAGCTAGGAAAGTGGTGTGGCCAATGTGGAGTGAAGACACGCTAATGACAACGTGTACAACCACTGGAGATGTGAGCAGGACAGATGGAAAAATTGAAGGAAAAAGTGTGGACTTCAAACTAGGGCTGTGCGATATGACCAAAATCTCATATCCCGATATAAGACATCTATCGTCCCAATAACAATATAAATTACAAAAATTTAACATTTTCTGTAAATTCTGTGAATGTCAGGCAGCTCGACTTGCGTGAAGTGTTTTCAGCTGGGCGTGGTGTACCTGGAGTCGTGTTTTAACCAATGCATGAAACAATTTTACAATTTTAGACACAAGTTGTAACAGCTGTTTTCTTTGTGAGTATTTATTACACAGCGTGGTGCGGGGAAAAGCCTGTTCTAACGTTTGAATCTAAGGTTTATTTTTTTAGCACCTGACGGCTCTTTTTTGCTTCTCATCTGTAAACACTCTTTCACGTGATTCCGTTTATTTTGAAAAGTCTCAACAGGATCTTGAGCTTTATTGTGAAAGGTTTATGTGGAAAATAAACAAGCGGACACGCGATGGTTTTACCGTTGTTGTTGCTAATGACAACGCATAAAAATAGTCGCTTGTCCGTCCGTAGTGTGGTTAAATATAAGAGAGAGAACTTTAAGAAATGAATATAGCCACTACAGGGACCATCAAAACGATGAAAAAATATTGCCATAAACAGTTTATTTTGCAACACCACAAAACAAAAGCGTGTAAAATGAAACGATAGATGTTTTTACGTTATACATCATCATCCGATATATATCGTTATATCGAACAGCCCTACTTTAAACTATATTGTTTTTGGCAAAACCAGAGTTATAATTCACTATGTTTTTTTATTATGTTTTTTCCCCCGAATCCTGTCGTTGTTTATATTTACTGCGGGAAGAAATGGTAAAAACTGTGTTTTCTAAGGAAAGCGCTCAAAAGCACTCTCTACCTGTGAGTAAAGAAAAAACAAAAGCAAAAAGACCCCAGCCTTTCCTATTAGTTGAAAAATGTACCATGTCGACCAATCAAAAAAATGACATGGCAACGCGGCATTTGGTTGTTTAACCTCTTTTAACGCTGGTTATTTTCAGAACATAACACCTGCGATAAACGAGCAGTGATGGGAATAACGGCGTTACAAGTAACGGCGTTACTTTTTTCAGTAACAAGTAATCTAACTAATTACTATTTCTATCGTTACAACGCCCTTACCGTTACTAAAAAGAAAATGTGGTGCGGTCACGTTATTATTTTTCAACAAACAGACTGTTGAAGCTGTGTTCAGTTTACCGCACCTTATGCCAGTTGCACGGAAGTAGCTGTAAGTAATCAGTGCGCTACAGCTTTAAGCATCTCCGCGCACTCCCGTGGACGGCAATCACTTTCTTAGTAACTAAGTAACTTACCCAACACTGTAAACGAGTGACCACTGTATACAAATACTGAGAAATATACAATTTGAATCCTTTCTCTCTTTTGCTCTGAGGCGCAGGGGAAAATATATCGACAACACGATGAACATCATCTACAGATATATTCGGTAAATACCCAAGACATCTTGAGAAATGCAAATCGCCACTTGATTAATCCATTTGGTTGACTTGTTTTGGAAAACTGACAGTAAACAAGGAGCAAATATCACACCGGAAACAAAGCGCTATACAGGAGTTTCTCCACCGGAAGTAGAATATGCCAAGGTGCACATAGTCTATGCTGGTGTGACCACAGTGCACATGTCTGCCATTACTCACAATGGTCCAAGGGACCGCTCAGGGAGTTTGTGTGTTTGCTCAGACACATGAGAAATTAGAGGGAAAATTGCTAGTGACTTTAAATATCCATCCATTTCTTTGTGAGACATCTTACCTGTAAGGCCAACCTTTTTACGACACATGAAGCACCGATTCTTCTTGGGTTTGGGGGGCTCGTGGGATTTGGAGTCTTCACTGCCAGCAGTGGAGGGATGCAAGGCTGAGACGGCTGGCTGACTCACAACTGGAAAAAGAAGGAAAAAGATTACTTAAACTAGAGCTAGGCATTCGTATAAAGCTTTGTAAACTGGGTGGTGAAAATACAAATATTCCATTTAAAAAAAAAAAAAAAGAAGCACATTTTCTTTCATTTCTACCTTACATAACCTCATACTAATGACACGTTTCTCATTTCATGGTAAAAATAAGGGCAAAAGCAGAACATAAATTTGTTAGTCACACTTTTCCACCCTCAGGACTGAACATGTGCACTCAGTAAAGTGGTTGTCTGTCTATGTGTTAGCCCTTTGACAGGGTGGCGACCTCTTCAGGGTGTACCCTGCCTCTCGCCTTATGACAGCTGGGATAGGCTCTAGGCTCCAGCCACCCCCGATTCAAGAGAATGGATGGACGGAGAAAACAGATCCATTTTTAGTGCCCACCTGGCTCTATGAGCTCCACTTTACTGCCTGACGCTCCTTTCTCTTCAGAGGAGAGACTCATCTCAGTCATCTGTTGTGTTACAGAAATGGCAGGTGAAATCCCACTGCAAAGGATAAAAAAAAAAAAAAATAAATAAACAGATTTAAAGTGGACCTATTGTGCTCTTACTTTCTGTCATGTTTATATTGGTGCTCACGCTATGTACGAGTAATCCTTGCACTAAACACAGAAGTTTTTTTCTTCTTTTAAATCTCTATGATGTCACTTTAAATGGATATCCCCAGATATGATCTTTTTTCAGGCAGAGAAATAGCCAATCACAGATAAGTCTGCTTAAAAGGAGAGGATCTAAAACTGCTCGTTTCAGACAGTGGGTGTATTTGTGAATTCGAATTGTGAATCATGCTAAGCTGCTCTACAGTAATCAAAAAATAATCGAAGCAAATTGGAGCAGAGCTGCTGCTTCTACGTGATTTCCTTTGGAGATTTTCAGGGCATGCCCAAGCAGAAGACACTGAGGCAGACCCTCAACCCTCTGAGATGATTATACTTCTCATCTCAGGATCCCCCAGGAGAAATGGGGCTAAGGAGAAGGACAACTGGGAATACCCTGCTTAGCCTACTGCCACTGCCATTCCAAGGTTAGATAAGCAGAAGACCATGAATGGATGAAACTACACATAGTCCTCAATGGTCACAAAATTATTGTACAGCTGTAAGAGACTACTGATTGGCTTGAAGGAAATCCCAGTTTTTACCTCTATATAAACCAAATCTTGATGGTTGCTGATGTTTTACATTCCTGCCATAGATGCCACTTCCTGTCACTGTTTGACAGGCACCCTGCTGGGTCCACTCACCTGAGTGCCTCTGTGGCAGCGGCAGCAGCAGCATCAGAGGCAGCGGCGGCCTCAGCTGCCACCTCTGCAGCAGCAACCGCAGCAGCCGCAGCATTATTCAGGGTAGCCTCTAACCTTTGGATGGCAGAAGCCTCAGCTGTGGAGCTGCTGCCTGAGGAGAAATAAATCACAGCATGCCACAGTGAGACACCGGGGATGAAGGCAGAGCAGCTGCACACAGACGAGGAGAAGAAAATAAAACCCGAGGTCTTACCCACTCCACTCAAAGAACCAACTCCTCCATTGTTCTGTCGTGACAGGTGCTCCTTGTGGCACACAGAGCACATGCCGTTAGTCCTGGGGTTGCCATAAAAACCACAGCCAGTGGCACAGAGCATAGGAACTGGGCTTTGATTGGTCTCCTGGGCCATAGCGGTATTTCTGCCACCTGATGAGCTGACCTGGAGACAGACATACAAAAATAAAAGGCATCGTTACCGCAGCAGAGTCACATAGCACAAAGAGACTACTGAAGAGGAAAGAAATGATCGTGTCCTGAACCTAAAGCAGTTATATTCACATCTGTACCTGATGTGTAGCCTTTTTATTAAATCACTGACTCAGTTGGAAGCTGTTCCAAATCAGCTGTCACGAAACCCATTATCACCATCAGCCTCACATGTTTACATCTCATTATCTGTAATGAACGCAATTATTCGTTATTCTTTTGGGGACATACATTTTAAAGAGCAGCTAATCACTAAAAACCTCTCCAGCCAATAATTGAGGTTGTTGCTTTACTTTGTGCGAGTTTCACTTCAGTTTAGTATTCTCCCTGAAAAGTTAGCCAGTCGTGTGATTTATAAGGCTGCATAATATCTGGATGTTTGCTCACTGGATCCTCTGATATTTGCATTATTTTAATGTGAAATAAATTCTTAGCTTGTCCAGCTGATGTTTTACTTTATTAAGACACTTATTACATGGTGTTCTATTGGCATTTATTTTGGATTTTTATTTATTAGGTTCCTTCATCTTATTTTTTCTACTCGTCCAAGTTAGTAACTAATTTGTGTATTTGACATTTTGAAATAAATTTTGAGTCATTTTACTTTTTAGCTATTCTGTTATAGGTCATGTGTGCTGCAACAGGAATTTCAACTTACCTATATAGAATCTAAAAAATAAAAACTACAAAACAAAATAATATGTGAAACTAAATATTAGTTTGTTCCAAAGTGGGTTCAAACAGGAAAGGGAGCGGTAGCAGAGTTCACAAGGAAGGAAGCTCAAATGAACATCAATCAAAAAAATAAAATAAATTAAAAGTACAAACTGTGACTGCAGTGGAATTTTTATTGTTTTTAATCTCTTAGTTTCACGTCACTGCAAAAGAAGAGGTCTTTCTCGATTGTGACTTTACTCCACTTAAAAAGGGCTTAGACAAAGGACTAAAGACCACCACAAACATATGAAAAAAAAGACAAGCCCACATTTTTCACTTCCCCAGTGACAGTACACAACTACAACATGTAGATTTTTCCCTAAGCACCTACGCATCATTACCTCTGGCACTTCAGCCACTTTTCATACCCCAAAAATAAAAATGAAAACCCATGGGAGATATCCTACTGCTTCACAAGGACAGCTTTCTCTGTCTTTGCTATGTTTAAGTGTGAGTGAGAAGCAAGGCTTCAGAGTGGCAGTGAGAAGGACTACTGAGACCTTCTGTTGCTTTTAGTTTTCCTCTGACTGACCATTGTAGCTTAAATCACAGCATAACCGTTAACTAATCTGGACGGTGATTATTAACTTTAGATTACATCAAACCCCAAAGAAAATGTATAATGACAAATAGTGATATAAACCCCAACTATAAATATTTTTTTGTACTAAAACCCCTTGACATACTAGTGAAATTTACTCATGAAATTTTCACTCAGATTTTAATCTAATAAAATAATACCCATTAAAACTTGACTTACTTCCCTTTCACTGGAGCTTCAGGGGACACCTTACTATTTTCTAATAATAAAACTGCTGAGGTGTAATCACATGACCTGAGCCTCAAGTGCCACGAACCAGATAACAGTGTTGAGGCACACTGTCAGCAGTCTTGGTTAGAGAAGTTATTTATTTAGTGTGTAAACCAAACAGCATTCTTGACCTTTGCTTGAAAAGAGTGCAGGAGGACAAAACAACAACAACAAAAACACAAAACATCTTTAATCAGTGCTCAGACTACACAATGATTTCTGTTTCAGTGGTCGCTCTGTCAGAAAATCACATTTTCCTGACAAATGAATCATGTCTGTGGCAATAAATGACATTTGTGTGTGCCCACACAAACATGTAGTTGAAAAAATTTATGCAGGACACCAATGTCTTCTACAGATGGTTGAGGTCCAATTACAGTAATCACCCTGAAAGTATGAACATCCTTCAACAGTACAAACTGAGCCCAATCTAATTGGCAAGGTTAAACTCCCCATGCAGGTACTGTAAGAATTTGCCAAAAGTTGCCAACATCAGCATTGCTGGCATCAGCAGCATTGCATCCTTAAAGGTTAAATGTGCAGCTACGATTGATACATTGGTCATTATCAAAGTTTTCTTGACCAACTGGCTCGTGACAAAGCATTTCCAAATTATTCAGTAAAACGAATCAATTTAAAATAAAAATATAAGCATAACTAAATCAGAAACCTTAACCAATTCAAAGACATGAATAAAGCCAAATGAAACCCAAGTGAATTTTAAAAAACGCTAAATAAAACACACAAAAAAAGAGAATACGCAATAAAAATGATTAGGTAACTTCTTCTTACTCAAAAGTGAAAGCAGCTTGCTTCAAAATTAATCAGAAGAGATCTCAGTTAAAAATTGATGAAAGGGCAGGCAAAAGAAAGTGCCAAGTAAAACACAATGAAATGCTAAACCAAATAAAAATGCTTTATAAGATGCTGAAAAATACTTTTAAATAATATAGCTCACATAATTTTAAATGAAAGTAACTACGGGTTTACTAAACTAAAGTCAAATATAAAGCTACTCTACTCTACTCTAGATACCACATTAAATAATACTTTTTAAGGGAATAGCTAAATAAAAGAATGAAATGCTAAACTACAGAGAATTCAAGGAAAAAATCTAAATTCACAAAATACTAAAATGCTCAAAAAAAAATACAGACTGTATAATAACAATACAATGCAAATTCTCTTCCTCAAAGCTGAGAACAGCTTCCTGCCAGGCAAGTTTAGCCTAGTAAACAGCTGCAGCAGCCTTGTGATGACAAAGATTTTTATAGGAAGTTGTGAAGATCTTGCTTCGGGGGAAATCAACTGTCTACAGTTACAGTTTATACACAGTGGAAGCAAAAGGGGAAGAATTCCCATCACTAAGTTCATATCCTGGTGAGTTACACTAGTCTCTCCTCTTCCCCAAAACTGTGGATAGTTACCGACCACTGCAATGTGCAGCTTCACGTGTGCTCATTGCAGTGTGACTGCAGACTGCGGAGCTCCGCTTCCAGCCAGGCTCACATGGACATGTGCATGAGGGCTTTCCACTGTCACAGGAGTGCAATGTGACACACTCACGGGTTACCTCAATACACCAAGGCTGTGAACACATCTATTTATAGACAACCTCAGGAGTGCTGCAACCAGAGCTGGAACCCTGGCTAAAATTTGTATCCACGTCAGAGACAAGGTTTCTCCTTAAACATAAGAACAGCCCACACACACTTTGCTGGAACATGCAGGTGGAGGAATCTAAACAAAGGGGTAACCATAAAAAATCATAACAACACCTGTGGATAACACAAAGAGCAGCTGGAGCACGTTTATCACCCAGACAAAAGGCGAGTCACTCCTCAGCCATACTTCTGCCTTAATTCCAGAGGTAAACGCGCATTTATATATCACCAAAGGGCTCAGTCAAGTGAGGAAATATCCTTCATCTTCAACTACTTCACAGCACACAAACAGGGCCACACAACCGTTTTACTTCTACAAATCCACTGAGTCATGCTAGCAAGCTAATGCACGCTGTTTGTGTTTAAACCCCCATTTTAAAACCAAACATTTAACAAATAATTATTCCTCATGGTGTTTGGTAACACTCTGGGTATTTTTTCAAGGTAAAGCTGTGATTTAAAGGGTTACTTAGAAATACGAGACAGCATGCTCCTTGCTAAGTATGACTCTTCTGATCTCCCCGCTAGCATGCTAAAGGCTACCTGCAGCTAGCAAGTTTAGCGTGACTAGTTTGCTTTGTTCGCTCTTTTGTTGTTTGTTTAGAGTTACCACAAATATTATAAACAGAAGCCCCAACGACTCTTAAATAAGAGAAACAAGGGGACAAAATACACACTAAAAATAAATGTTAAAACATCACTGCTAATTAGACACAACCTAGGGAAATTCAGATGCTACTGCGAGCTGCCGATAGATTTAAGTTGAAAAAAGGCGATTTTTTAGAAAGGAGAAAGATCGGTTTTTAAATAGCTGTAAGGTTAATGCCAAGTTTAGCATCTATATAGCCTCTTAAACCTATTTAACATGTAGTCTTACCCTTGGAAAACTTTTTAAGGACACGTGTTAAGCAGCCAGACAGTCACTCTTTAATCCTCACTAATTAAGTAAGCCAATTTTACACCAACGCCGACGTTACTCGTTTTGGAAAATGTGCTTTTTAAACTGTTTGTAGCTACAATTAGTCCTAGACTGAGACACTTCCCGAAAGAACTACTAAGTAACTAACTAACCAGCAGACTGCGGTTTAACTACTCGGTGTTATCTTACCTTTTCGTGCCAGAGAAACGCTGTTTTGTCGGCTAACAAAAACACCTGGATTTCTCTTGGAGCTGACTAACTAGGGCCGTCTAGGTTTAGTCGTCGCTTGTGCCCGTTTCTTTTCGGTCCTCTCTCCGTCTGGGAGTGATGTTATGTTATGTTAGTTGCTCCCGCTGACGTCCTCAGTCTAGGAGAGGTAGTGGCATCTGTTTAGTTTTACGTGTTACGTTTGCGTCCTCTCTGCCTTCCGGTACACGTCATGGAAATTGTGATCCTCTGATTGGAGGGCATGGTTGTTGGCGAAGAGCCACTAAAGATTTCAGGACAGCAGTCCTGGTTTCTACAAACATACCTTTACCCCACATAAACAAACATCTTTGTAGAAAAACAGATTTCAAAACATCAACACGGCACTAAAAGTAATGAGAGCAGACAAACACAAAACAGTACAAAACATGACACATCTACATTGAGTTCCACAGGTGATGCTGTAGTGTTTCCAAGGGAGAAGACTGGTCTTGACCAACATTAAAAAGACCACTTTGGACTCTTCCTAACATACATACAGACAGATCCGGTACACTGATGACACCCTCACACACCGAGGAACATGTAGCAATTTTTGTCAGAAGTTTAAATACACAAATTATGAACATGAATGTCATGGTAATTTTGTGCTTTTAATGACTTATTTGAACTTTTTTAATTTTACAATGTAACTCTTTTTGTTTAAAAATTAATAACTGGGTTCACAAGTTTGAATTTATTTTAGATTTAAATTCACGCAAGATCACCACACTACACTAGCAAGGGAGGGCCTTACTAACAGCAGAGATCAACAACCCAGCAATGAACCTTAGCCACCACCTTAAGTACTGGCCTGCTGATGAAATCCTTTGGAACAGGTTGCTGCTTGCTGCACGTTCATTCAACCAGAGGCGGTAACCACTGTCCCTCCCATGAACACAGACGCAACCTACCATAACATTCATGACCATAATGAGCCCATGTGAACTTCTGACCACAGCTGCATGTAAGAATGTTGTTCATTGGCAACAGCTCAGAATTCAACACTAATTGCAGTAATCTCTGGGAAGTCACTTTCTGTGAGTGCTGAAATTCCAGTCAAACACTCAGGAAAACCGCACATCAGGCAATAGACCCATGAGCATGATAACCAATCAGGGGTGCATGATGAGGCCTCTCCTTTACACCGTCTTCACATATGACGGTGTGGTCTCCTTATAAAGTTTGCATATGACACTACAGTCATTGGGATGTTTGCTGATGGAGAGGCGGTGACATAGAAGTGTCAGGCCTGGCGGTGTGGTGTCAGGAAACAATCATTCTCTAAATGTAGATAAGACCAAAGAAATGATTACACCACTGAGGCAGAGATAGGGAGTAAAAACCTTTAAATTTCTCTCTTACTTGATCTCACAACACTCAGCAGCTTCTGAAAAATTCTCAGAAGGCTGATGGAAATTTGGCATGTCACCCAGAAACGTTTACACAGTTGTAGAGCTAAGAGCGTCATCGCTGCCTCAGTTACAGTGTGGCGTGGAGGCTGCATTGTTCAGGACAGGAAGGCTCTCCAGCGTGTGACAAAAAATACACAGTATGTCACTGGAGCAGCCTTCCCATCACTACCAGTCTTTCTTGAGTAGAGTGCAAAGTACATATAAGGTTACTGGACTTTTGGTGAGGTCCCATTGTAATTCCAGCTGCTCAAGAGCCCTGGATCTTTATTGTATTTTTTCATAATGGGTCTAATGTTTTCAACTGGCACCTTGCCTCAAATGACCTCAGCAGCTCACAGGACAGGATAGTGGGACAATGTTTTACATAGTTTCACTGGTGCCAAGGTGGTGGATGGTTCGCTTTTTTCGCACTAGGGAAACTCACATGACTGATATCGCCTCAACAACCCGAAGGACGACCTCCAAGAGAGCAAAAACCATCCTGGATCAAACCACTGGGATTCTATGTCACTTGTTTTAGAACTGAAGAAGCCTCTTGGATGACCAATAAGAAGCCCAGTTGCCTTCTTTTCAAGCACTTGAGACTACCATGATATGGATGACTTGTACCCTTCTT